AGAGAGAGAGAGAGAAAGAACAGCTTGGCATCTCTCGCACGAGAGAAATGAGGACTCTGAAAATATTACCTCGGATCGGGAACGGCTTCGTCTGGATGGTGTCTGACGTCGGCGGCGTGTAGTGCATCTCGATCTCGGAGTCGGTCATCCTTCGCGGATCCCTCCGCTGAAACTGGTCCGTTCCGTCGCGGGACTGAAGAGAGACGACGCGAGACGGGGGAAGAAAGAGACGGCGAATGCAAATGGTGAAGACTCGCAATTCGCTCCGATCCACTCGCGACGTGTCGACTTCGCGTACTGACGACTGATCGAGGAACGAGCACGAACGACGGACGGTCGAAAGACGGCCACCACCGTCGCCACCGCCGGGTATCACACACCACATACACACACATACGTCACCTATCGGATCGGCGAGGCGGGGAGAGTTACTTCGGCCAGCTCCGGGCCAGGTTAGGTCTGCGATAATGGGAACTGTCTCATTGCGTCGTCGCACTCAGTGATGACTTACGTTTCGTTACGTGTCTGGACCTGTCTGGACTGACGCCGATTACTGTCTAGAATGACGACTCGATCGCTCCAGGTCGCAGCTAGAGACACAAGTTCTCTGATTGTTGTACCTGTCACATTTAGAATGAAATAGATGACGTTGGACACTAGGGAGGAAGACAAAGGAGGGAACAAAACTGAGGAGTACAAAGAGTTCTGCTATAAAAAGCAAATCGATAATCCATATTATATTTCTTCGGATTTATATCCATATCTTCATAATGCACACAATTTTGGACTCAAAAGGATATCTTTTTCTTTAAGATATTTTCTGATATTGATCATCAATTCTATGAGAATCTATAATGATATTTTTCAATCGTATCATACAATTTTAATCTTTCTTTCATAAAAATGTATTATACATATTTTTATTTAGAATGAAAAGATTATAGATTATCCTAAATTGCGTCTTAATACAAAAGTAATACAAATTGGTGAATGAGGTGATTTAGAATTTGGATTAAAAATTATTTAAATATAAAATAGAAATGTAAGAAATAATGATAAAAATCTGAATTTTTTATATAATTATTTTAAGTATTTAAGATAATTTCTGTAAAGTTTCAAACTTGCGATGCAAAGATTCTTCTGTAAATAACAATTAAATTATTAAGAATACAAATGAAACGAGTGATAGTACAAATAAAATTAAATTTTTCATCAAATGGTTCATTTGTACACTGAAAAAATTAAAAAATCCATTTATATTAACAAAAGAGAAATTTATTTTATCGTCAATGACACAATAATTAATCCGACAATTTAAACGTCGTACATTAATTTAACTGACTGGCAATCGAACTTTGCTTACTAATCAAAGTTGATTTACTGATATCATCAGCTAAGAAGTAACAAACGTTTGATATGATCATCGATCATCTCGTCAATCTTTTTTTTTCTCTTTCAAAATCCTAACTTTAATATTGTTGATCAATTAAGTTCATTTTATCAGCTGTAAAAGGCAAATATATCTCTTGTTTCTATTTATCGTAATCCGAACAAAATTTTCAGTTGAGCAATATAGGATTTACGATTCTATAATTTTGAAATTAATTAGCGCTATATTGTTGCTTATTTTGAACTATAATCATTATGCCAGTGAAATTAGCTCATTTTTTAATTATTTTTATTAATATATTTAATGATTTTTATATTCCAGCATAGATTTTTTCTTCTTTTTGTAGAAAGATTTAAACGTTTCAATCTTAACATTCTATATATTTTTTTTAAACTATTTCATAATAAGTCTGATTTTTTTTTAGAGTAAGAAATTCTTGTATGTATTCTTGTGTGTTATTCTTCTTTTCTCTTTCTCGCTCCACATTAAAAAAAAAGAAAAAAAGATAATACAAGAAGTTTAATTTCAACACAAAAAAATAGGCTTGAGAGAAAGATGTATGAATAAAAAAATAATTATTGTATACTAGAATTGCGTTTCAAAATTGATTAAAAATGCATAGTTTATTAGTGAAATTAGATCGACCAGACTAATTGGTTAATTAAATATAAAATTTTCTGATTGGTGATCTATTGAAAAATTTTTAAACACCAGTCGATATGTGAGGGGTGACACGTTGCAATTGATCACCAGCCACTCATAGCGTTTAAACAGAGGAAAATCTCTAGGCACCGGCCGCTATGAATGGTTGTGGTCAAACGGAACGCTCCCATATGCGAGTGGATAAATTAAAATAATTTATGCATTGGATCAATTTTACGTGCATCAATTTTAATTGATTTCAATTAAAATTTTTATAGAAACTTTTGTAGAAAGATCGAAATACTATAGGATTTCTATAAATTCAAAATTAACATCCAGTCAAACCTTAGTTCTTTTCAACTGAACTTTTTACACAGTTCAGCTTTCCTTTTTTTTTCATGTTAGAGAGAAAAAGAGAAAAGATGAATCGTGCAAGAAATTGAGTTGAAAAGAATAGGCCTTTTGTATCCACGGTGCTAAAAATCTGAGATCTCGGACAAAAAGAGAATTGACGAATCGCATTGATTGATTGGTCGAATTGGTCAAATGCTATATATATAAAGAGAATCTAATATAAACAGAAAAAAGAAAAAAGATAAACAGTGCAAAAAGAACAGGTCTAGGCTATGGTCAGTAGCTCACACGTACGCGATTTGCGCTTGTGTGCGTCATCCCCTTTACGGTTACGTGTTGCTAGTGTGGACATTCTGGCATCACTGGCTATGGTCAATATAATCTTCGAAGCGTTTGCTTGTCCAATCAGAACAAAGAATTTTACCAATGCACCAATCAGAAAATGCTTTGAAGCATTCATATGAACGCTTGACCGTACTTATACCGCATTGCCGCAACGTTCTAGTACGCATGCGCGAAAGAGCAGCTCATCACCTTAATCTAAGTTGAATCGAAGCGAACGCGTTCTTCATCAGCTCGTTTCGAC